CTCTTTCTTCTATGGGGAAAAATTTGTATTTTTAAAAATGCTTTCTGAAAATAAGGATTTGCTAATACTGGCTGCTACTTAAGTTTCTTGAATGGCAAGTTCCAAGTGTAACTTGAAGTCTATTTCTTGAGCAGATTTTAGCCATTTTTTAAAATGTCTATTTATTCTTGAGAGAGACACAGAGTATGAGTGGGGGAGGGGGAGAGAGAGAGGGAGACAGAGAACCTGAAGCAGGCTCCAGGCTCCAAGCTGTCAGCACAGAGCCTGACTCGGGGCTCGAACCCACGACCCGTGAGATCATGACCTGAGCCAAAGTTGGATGCTCAACAGACTGAGTCACCCAGGCACCCCAGATTTTAGCCATTTTTTAAACACTTAAGAAAAAGAAAAGTTTACACGTTTACTGACATCCACTGCCAGAACCGTTTCATCATCCAAAGCTAAAATTCTGTACCCGTTAACACTAATCCCCCACTAACAGTTCCCCCCCAGGCCCTGGCAACTTCCATTCTACTTTCTGTCTCTGTGAATTTGACTCCTTGAAGCACCTAATGTAAGTGGAATCATGCAATATTTGCCTCTCTGGATCTGGCTTATCTCACTTAGCATAACGTCTTTAAGGCTTATCCGTGTTGCCACATGGGTCAGATTTGCCTTCCTTCTAGGGCCGAATAGCCATGTATACACCACATTTCAGGTGCCCATTCATCCATTGATGCACACTTGGGTTGCTTCCAAATTTGTGCTGTTGTGACTAACACGGCCATGAACATGGGTTTGCAAATATCTCTTTGAGTCCCTGTCTTCAGTGGATTCTTTTTTTTTTTCTTTCTTCTAAAGCTATATGGAGGGGTGTGTGATGGGCTCAGTCAAGTAGAGCATGTGACCCTTGATCTCAGGATTGTAAGTTCAAGCCCCGTGTTGGGTATAGAGATTACTTAAAAAACAAAATCTTTTTAAAAAAAAAAAAGCTGGATGGAGCTCATGTGGGCCCTTTCTTGAGTTTCTGGCTATGAGAGAAGGTTGACTTGGGAGTTGGGGTCTTTTCCACCCCTCACTGCTTGAGGTCCCAGGCCCTTGGAGCAAGTCACTCGCCACCTCTCCGTCACAGTTACCCCAGCTGTGATCGCAGGCAGCCCCTTCCACCTCTCAGGTCCTGCCCCTCCGTGACCTCTCAGGTCCTGGCTTCTGTTTATTCTGTGGTAGAACTGGGACTAGAGTGGGCCCTTGGCGTGAACAGGTGCATCATTCACACTTTTGAGGGGTCTTGAGCAGTCCTGATGGCCCATGGCATATAGAAATCTTCCATTTGGCTGAGACATGAATTTGAACCTCACACACGGTGAGGTTGATGTGTGGGTGCAAGTCACTTAGTGGGCAAGCCAGGCTGGTCAAGTGCCCAGCGTCAGCCTCTCAGCGAGGCGTCGGCCTCTCAGCGAGGCGTCAGCTGCTATTCAACCCATCTTCAGCAGTGTCTTTTGTGAAGTGGTAGAATTTCAGTGACTGTGTGCGTGTGTGTGTGTGTGTGTGTGTGTGTGTGTGTGTGAGAAAATGCCTCCAATGCTGACTGCGAGGGCTGGCAATGGAAGCAAAAGGAAGCCTAAGAAACCAGCGTTTCTTACTGAATAGATTACAAAGTGGTCTGTTGGACTTCACAGTAGCTCCGTAGTGCAGACAGCCTCACCATACATTCACTACAGAAATATGACACATCTATCTGTGAAATTTTAGTGAGGGTCTCAGCCAGCAGAAAATGTGCTCATTGAGAAAGAAAACTTTAGAAAAGTTTGAAAAAGTGCCTCGGGAGAAAGGCAGGAGACTGTACAAACATTTCCAGGAAGCAGCACGTGTCAAAGGCACCAGTGTGGCTACTAAACCAGTCTTATTTTCAAGTAAGGGCTGGTTTGGAAGTTTTAAGATGTGTTTTTCTTGGCAAAAGGTACTGTTAATAGGAATAAGCAGGCCGGTTGTCTGTCTCACGGCACACGGGATTCCTCCTGGGCTAAGAGGCGTGTGGGGGAATGGAGGCCGAAGTCCCGGCAGGGCGTACTGCAGGGCACGTGGGATGTGGTGGCCTCACATGCCAGATGGAAAGCCATGTGAAAGATGCAACCAGAAAATGAGGAGCGAAGCCCCTCAGAGAAGGCTGTAAAGAGCTGGTAATAAGAGGCAAAGGGCATGAAGCCATGGTGAAGAATTAGGAAAGGCTAGGTGGGCCCTTCATAAATTTTGTGAGGTGTTCCGTCACACCAAGCTGGCAACATCGTGGCCATCCGTCAGTGGAACGGGGTCTGTTTCAGCAGTCCTAAGCAACATATCCCCATTGGCACCATGCCAGGAAATACCCTAGAAGTTGCAGAAGTAAAGAGAGATGAACAAATTTTGGTTCAGAAGGAAGGAGGGGCACCTGGGTGGCTCAGTCAGTTGAGCGTCTGACTTGATTTCAGCTCAGGTCATGATCCCAGGGTTGTGGGATTGAGCCCCATGTCCATCACTGCACTGAGCGTGGGGCTTGTGTAAGATTCTCTCTGTCTCTCCCTCTGCCCCTCTCCCCCACTTACACTCTATCTAAAATTTAAAAAAAAATTTTTTTAATTAAAAAAACGAAGGAAGTGGAAAAAAAGAAGAGAAAATGACGATAAAATTATGAAAGGGAAAGTAATTAAAATGGGCATGAATGAGAAAAAATAATATTTTTTTCCAAATAGTGAAATGCTATAGAGTTAAAATGCTAATGCTCATAACCTAGATGAAACACATTTTTGGAAAAAGCGAAAATGACAAACTTGAATCAAGGAAAAGGAGAAAATTTGATTAGGATGGTGGCCAGTAAAGGCCACCCCGACTAAAACATCCAGGTCCAAAGGCGTTCAAGTCAGAGTTAATGCCCACAGTAAAGATCACCTTCATCCTTTGTAGAAAAATAAGCAGAGAAGTCGATGAACTACCTTATGTGGTTGGTATCACCTTGTTTCCAAAACCAAATGGCTGCATTGCAAGGTAATAAAATGTTAGGCCCCCTTCAAGTATGACCATTGATGCAAAGGTCCTAAATATAATGTTAAACAAAACAAGGGGAAGGTAGGAGAAGAATTAGGCCATTCATCATGCTCTGTGAGGTACCGGCCACCCGGGGTGCCTGTGTGGCTCAGTTAAGCGTCCGACTCCGGCTCAGATCATGATCTGTGGTTCGTGGGATTGAGCCCCGTGTCAATCATGAATGGGGGAAAAGGGCAGAGGGAGAGAGAAAGAAAATCCCACTGTCATCAAGCCCTACTGATGGCACAGAGCCTGCTTGGGATTCTCTCTCTCTCCCTCTCTCTGCCCCTCCTGTGCTCTCTCTCACTTGCTCTCTCTCTCAAAAATAAATAAAATAGGGGCGCCTGGGTGGCTCAGTCGGTTGGGCGTCTGACTTCGGCTCAGGTCATGATCTCAAAGTCCGTGGGTTCAAGCCCCACATCGGGCTCTGTGCTGACAGCTAGCTCAGAGCCTGGAGCCTATTTCAGATTCTGTGTCTCCCTCTTTCTCTGACCCTCCTCTGCTCACACTGTCTCTCTCTCAGAAATAAATAAGAAACATTAGAAAAAAAATTAAAAAAAAAAAAACTTGTAAAAGATTTTTAAAAAGCAAAAAAAGATACATACTCTCACCGCCGCCCCCAGCACTCTGACAGTCGTCTCTTTCCTCTCCTCTGTTCTTTGGGTTCGGCTTTGCAACTGTCTGGCTGCCCCACTTGCCACTTCATTTTTGCTCCTGAAGACCGCACAGGTCTGTTTTGTTGTCAGGGTTTTTGCTGAAAAGCAATAAAAGAAGCAAACAGAAAGGGACTTCAAATGGGTAAATCACAAGGGTTCTAAAACCTCACAGTTTCTGTACTGAAGGTGCCTAGTTTATGTTGCCAGACGTCTTTTTGAGATGCTAAATGAATGACGATGAGGCTCCTTAAACATACTCCTTCCTTCTAACCACCTGCTTGCTGCCTTGTCCCCAGCTTGGACACCTGAAGAGGCCTCCAGGACAGCAGATATGTCCCCTTGAGTAAGATGGCATCTCCCGTGTCCCAGGGTGTACTGTCTGAGTGACCCATCCCACGATGACCTGCATCTTACTTCTGCTCATTACAAGAAAGCAAGTCCTTAGGTTGACCTTCCTGACAGAAGCTGTCTTGCATCCCAGAATACAGAATTCTAGAAGAAAAACCCTCTTTTCCCGAGCAGGCATTCCAAGTGGTGATGAACTTGGGTCTTTGGTTCACAGACACTCTTTGTGCTGTTTATTGATACGGTGGGGGTGTGAGTCCTGTCACTGCCATTCCCAAGAGACTCTTCTGTAATTTCTGGCTCTGAGAGATGTGCAGGTAGCCTCTTCCCTCTCTTTTGGCTTCTAGACACTTGAAGATAAATTTTTTTAAGTTTGTTCATTTTTTTCTAGAAATCTATACACCAACATAGGGCTCAAACTCACGACCCCAAGATCAAGAATTGCATGCTGCTCTTACTGAGCCAGCCAGGCACCCTGGCAAATAGTTAGTTAATGATTTAATTGTTCCCTCCCCCAGGAAGTACTTGGTTTCGCAGAACGTGTATCACATGCTCTCAAGATGCCATCGTGAGTGGGGTGGGGGGATGGTGCTGGGGGCAAAGGCAGAGTGACAGCTAAGTTTTTATCGGAGGATCTGAGGACAGATGAATAAGCATGACTGGCTTTGCACATTGAGACAAGATGGAAAGGAGTATTCTTACTATGCCCCTGCCCTGCCCTGTAGAGAGATGGAGATGTTGGCTGCGTGCCTTCTCTTTTGAAGAGTTTGGAAGTTAAATGTCTCTTTGAAGATTCTCACCTCCCAAATAGACTAGGACTTGGCATTTTCCACACCAAATGCTTAGCTCAGAGGGAGCACTAAATACAGGGGCCTCACAAGTTGTTGTGAACGATGGCTTTGGAGAAGGTTACTGAAGTCCTGCCGCTCTGATGGCCTTTTGTTGAAATTATTTCTGCAGGTGCTCACAGCTGGCTTGTCCATACTGCTGTTTGATATGATCCTGACCAGTGCAACAGTGGGATGGTAAGTCTTTGGCCTGGAGAGACGAAGAACAAATTTATTGTTTAGGTTTCAGCAGGATGCTAATTTTTTCTCTCAAATGTTGGAGAAAGGATGTTTGGAGTGTATATAGATAGATATAGATAGGTAGGTACGTAGGTAGGTAGGTAGAAGCATAGATACATATATACATAGGTACATAGATACATGGAGATAGAGATATATAGATACTTTAAGTTTGTATTTATTTATTTTGAGAGAGAGAGCAGGGGAGGGGCAGAGAGAAAGAGAGAATTCCCAGAAGGCTCCGCGCTGTCAGCACAGAGCCCAACATGGGGCTCAAACCCACAAACCACGAGATCATGACCTGAGCTGAAATCAAGAGTTGGATGTTCAACTGACTGAGCCACCCAGGCAGCCCCGGGGTATATGTTTTATTGATGCATAAATATACATCCAGAGGAGTACATATATCATGAATATGCAACATGATGAATTTTCACAGCTGAATACACCAACGTTGTTGCAATCAGCCTCCAGATCAACAAACAGAACACCACCATACATCTTTCAGCCACTCATCCACATCAGCGTAAGCACTACAGGTGCACTACTAGTTTCATATGTATTATGTGATTTTTCCAAGACTTTATAGCTACTATGATTGGATGAAGATTCAAAACCAGATCTGTGTATGTCCAAGGCCTCATGGCTTTCATGTACTTCTGTAGGACTAATTTGGCAAACACCAGGAATTTCCTAGCAGTGTAAATAGTGCCTAGGTAGAAGTGGGTCATAAGGAAGGTATAAGAGAAATTGGCCTATAAGTTCCTCTTCCCACCAGTGTATGACCATCCATTAAGAGCTTCTAGATAATTTGACAGCAATACAGGAGTGTTACCCAGCATAAGACAGCTCTATTTCTTGTTCATGGGCTGACATGGTGAACTAAGACTGTCCAGTGGAATGATCATAAAAAAAAAAAAAAAAAGTTCTCCTTGTCTTGGTTTTTTAATGCTATAAGCAATAATTCTGTTGATTAGCTAAAAGTATTTTTTGAGTGACTGCTTCATGTGACATAAGACCTCCTTCAGCCTTCAAGGAGCTGTCCTTACAAGGGTGATGGAAATCATATGGATAGTTTATGGGATAAGATCATCATAGTCTGAATGCACAGTGAATGTGAGGGCCGAAGGTAGGGGAGAGCACAGGCCAGCAGGAGAGCTTTGGAACCAGAACTGATTTGCTGGACCTTATGCAGAACACAGAGGCTTAGTGAGGCTGTGGGTGGAAGAGGATTTGAGCGCTTTGGCCGCAGGAAAGACAGGGAAGGCTGGAGAGGCAGGGGGTGCCAATGATGAGAGTGATTTGGAGCCAGAGCTGGGGCTGGGGGGCATGGACCTAATCCTTCACTCCCTCCTCCTTCCTCCGCACCTGCCCTTCCAGGAAGGCATCACGCCCACAGTGGGCTGGTGATATCCAAAAACCCAACCGCCAAGATCTCCTGGTACATTCCTGACACTCCTCCCCCAGTATCTGTATCCTAACCTTCATAGTGATAGTCTAAATTCTTGGCAGTATTTTTCTTTCTCACAAATGAGCCTCGGACAACCATAATCTGTACAGAATTTCAGAACGGACTTAAAAAACCCAGGCGTTGACCAGAGTGTGAGAAATAGGAGGGAGATGGCTCTCCAGCGGGGGGGAAAGGCTGAGCCCGGCTATTCCACCAGCCGTCTGGAAGAGGCCAGGTCTGCAGGCTGTTTCACATCCTGTGAACTTCATGCGATGCCCTGAACAAAATGGAAAGAAAGGCTGCGTGTTCCCAGATCAAGGAAACAGCATGTGTGATTATTGCAAAAGGAACCTTGACTCTGGAATTTCCTGATTTTTCAGAGCTTGAGTTTAAGGATGGTGTGTTTTCAGCCTCAAAGAATTTTCCAACCACAAAGTGAACCACCAGAAGAGGAGTGTCAGACGCCAGTCCAGACTTCCTGTCTTTTGCTCAGAGCTGGTCTGCGCCATCTCCAGCGGAGCCTGGGTGACCCGCTCTCAGACCCTGGGCATGGGCTGGCCTGCTCCCTGTCATGTGGGAGCTTAGACTGATCAGCAGTCACCGAGGGCAGGGACTGCCGGACTGTTTCGTTTGGACCTACCATGTTTGCGCGTAGGATCACTTGCTGGTTTTTTGGTTTTCAGAGTTTAAATTCATTCCCATTCAGAAATCAGGTGATTTCCTCATAAAGTCCAGATTTCCTGATCTTTTTGAAAATGTGGAACACGTGCTCTGTTAAGGCCATGCGTTCCCAGGGCAGCGGGTGCGGGACTAGGTAGAGGCTGCCTCCTCACATGGGCCTGGACTCTCTGAGTCAGCAGGTCTCTACTGCTCCAGGCCGCCCGAGACCGGGGGTTCTGTCTCAGCTACCTCCGAACACCCGTTTGCTTTACACTCATTCATTTCACACAAAGTGCTTGGTGGGCTCTGAGGCCACAGACCCAGTCCGTGGCCCCAGCAAGGTCACCATCCAGGAAATGAGTTCAGATGTCATTAGCCACCATATTGGGTGGGGAGCGGCTAAGCTGTACAAAACAGGCCATCATCTAAAGTAGGGTTTTTCACCTCAGCACCATTGGCATTTTGGGCTACAATGAATAATTCTTTGCTGTAAGGGGTTGTCCTGTGCCTTGTAGGGTTTTTAGCTGCAAACCCCACTGGATGCCAACGGCCCCTTCTCAGATGTCTCCAGATATTGCCACATGTGCCCTTGGCAGCAAAATGGCCCCAGTTGGGAATCATGGATCTGAATGTTTGTGGTGATTAGTGGAGAAAACGCCATTCAAAATTTCAGCAAGATCTTAAGAACCTTGCTTATCTTCTAATTAGAGATGTGGTCAGTTCATGTGTCAAGGCCCCAGCAGCCCCTCCCACGCTGTCTGTCACAGCCTCATCTGCAAGTAGCACACTGAGTGCTGGGTAAATGTGCACACCCCATCTGCCTGCGGCTGTGAGCTCATCCAGAAGGGAAACCATGTTTCACCTTTGTGTCTCCCCACCTAGCCTTAAAGGCTTGCTGAATAAAAGGGTGGCCAGCCTTCTAAATACTGTACCCCCCAAAATTATAAACCTTGGGGCACCTAGGTGCCTCAGCCGGTTAAGCGCCTGACTCCTGATTTCAGCTCAGGTCATGGTCTCACAGTTTGTGAGTTCAAGCCCTGCATCAGGCTTTGCACTGTCAGTGCAGGAACTGTTTGGGATTCTCTCTCTCTCCCCTCCTCACTTGGCCCTTCCCCTGCTTGCTCTCTCTCAAAATAAATAAATAAACTTAAAATATATATATGTGGAGGAAAAGTATAAACCTAAGTACCAGTGTTGGTCAGTTTTTAAACTCTTTTATTTATTTTTTTAATGTTTATTATTGAGAGAGAGAGACAGAGCATGAGTAGGGAAGAGGCAGAGAGAGAGAGTGGGAGACACAGAATCCAAAGCAGGCTCCAGGCTCTGAGCTGTCAGCATAGAGCCCAACGTAGGGATTGTACTCACGAACCGTAAGATCATGACCTGAGCTGAAGTGAGACGCTTAAGTGACTGAGTCACCCAGGTCCCCTGAAGTCTTTTCTTAAAAACAACTGATCTTGTCCAGCAAATTATCTTGTTTTTAATTATAAAAACAATCTATTGCAAACCCAGAATTTAAATGTCCAGATTAATACTTAATTATTCACTTTCAGTTAACAGAGTTTTATGGTATATAGTGATATGAATTCCCTCTATTCCAAAATTTTCCAGAAAGGGGATTCAACACACACAAAAGAAAAAATGCTCAACTGTGAGCAGTGTCCCTGTCGAGTAGAATTAGTTGTGAGTGTGCTCGCTTTGAATCCTTTTTAGACACTCTTCTCTTTGCAATAGTTTAAATACAAGGAGAAAAACAACCAAAACACAACCTCTTTATTCTGAGGATTCTGTGCCCATCTCTCCCTTTGGCAGTCATTCATGGGGCCCACCATTGATCACCGCTTACCAACATGTATGATCTCAGCACAAACCTCACGAGTACCAACAGTCTTTAGGAAGTGGTCTTATACCATGTTTGAGTAACAATGTCTTACGCCTTTAATTTTGGGACACTGCCCAGAGATCACCCAAGCCTCGTAGGAAGAGTGAATTTAGGAGGTGAAGAAAGTACTCATTCCAACACACCCATAAAACATCTAGGATCACAGTGACTGAAATTTACTAGTTTTCCATTTGAGTTAAAAATGTGAAAACTCTCACAGGTGCCTGGGTGGCTCAGTCGGTTAAGTGTCCCACTCTTGATCTCAGCCCAGGTGTTGATCTCAGGGTTATGAGTTCAAGCCCCACATTGGGTTCTGTGCTGGGCATAAAGCCTAGTTAAAAAATTTTTTAAAGGGGCTCCTGAGTGGCTCAGTCAGTTGCATATCCAACTCTTGATCTCAGCTCAGGTCATGATCTCACGGTTAGTGGGTTTGAGCCCCACATTGGGCTCTGCACTGATAGTGCAGAGCCTGCTTGGGATTCTCCCCTCCACTGCTCATGCTCTGTCTCTGTCTCTGTCTCTCGAAATAAAAAAATAAACATGAAAAAAACCTTTAAAAAAACTTTAACAAAAATGTGAAAACTCTCTAAAATGCTAAGAAGAGTCTTCTAAATTACTAGCACGTGTTACCTCTCCACAGAGAGGAATTTATCAGACTGTGAACTGTCACTCAGCAAGTCCCCAAGGAGATGGTATGTTAGGCAGATCTTTTTTGGTGAAGAAAAGAGAAAAAGCAAAAATAGTTTGCACCATGGAAGGGAGAAAGGGTAAGAAGTCATCGTCATTCATTGAGAAAATATTTATTAGGTGCATCATGAAGGGCTAGCCCCACAGCTGGAAAAGGGTGCAGTCTCTGTCCCCCCACCTCAAGTACGGTCAGGAGGTGCTTGAATAAACACAATAATGAATGTAAGATTGAGATAGAGAAAGATTGGAGGGCTGCTGAAAGTCAAGCCCTAGGAGAGGACCTAGTGATGCGTATTTATTGGTGGATGTGCTCTGCGATCTGGTTTGTATGCCTTCGTTGCATGAAGCATGTTCACTTCAGGAATGATGGGAATTACGAGATTTGCAAACAGTTCAGTGAAGCTCTGACTTAAATAGTTGTAATGCTAATAAGATTCCTGCACCCCCAGGTACCCCAATGTTCATAGTAGCACTCTCAACAATAGCCAAAACATGGAAAGAGCCTAAGTGTCCATTAACGGATGAATGGATCAAGAAGATGTGGTTTATCTACACCATGGAGTACTACATGGCAATGAGAAACAATGAAATCTGGCCATGTGTAGCAACATGGATGGACCTTGAGGGTGTTATGCTGAGTGAAATAAGTCAGGCAGAGAAGGACAAATACCATATGTTTGCACATATAGGAGGATTAGAAGGANTGAAATAAGTCAGGCAGAGAAGGACAAATACCATATGTTTGCACATATAGGAGGATTAGAAGGAACTTGACTGAGGAACAAGGGGGAGAAGAAGGGGGGACATGGTGGGCGAAAGGGAGAGAGGCAATCCATGAGAGACTCTTGAATGCTGACAAAAACTGAGAACTGATGGATGTAGGGGGGAGGGGGGATGGGCATGGAGGAGGGCACTCATGGGGATGAGCACTGGGTGTTATGTGGAAACTAATTTGACAATAAACTATTTGTAAAAAAAAAAAAGATTCCTGCACCCCTTGTCAGCTTCTCCTGCTGTTTAGAAGATAACATCAAAGCTCACCTCCCTGGCTTTCTTAGCAGTAAACTGAACCAAGGTTTGCTTCCTTCTGAGCATTCACTAAGCGGCTTTGGTGTTTCATGAAATAGCTAAGCCGAACGGATGAAATGCAAGGTTATTACACTTCAGCATTTTTCTAAAGCCATGGGGGGAGGAGTGGCAACGAGCCAGCCCATACCCTGTTCTTCTTCCTGGTGACAAAGCAGGATTACTGGAAACCGTAGAAATGTCTGAACCCCCGTTATGTTTGCAGAAATAAGCCCCCCCAAGCCCAAAGGCCTGTGCAGCCTTTGCTTCAGGTCACAGGTCACGGTGACTCTGCACTTGCCCCATTGTTTAAGACGATGTGTGCGTTCTTTAAGGGTCAGTCTGAGGAAGGGCTTCCCCCAGGAGGGAGGAAACATGTGCCCAGGGTCTTCAATAAGTAAGATGCACATCGATGCTGGCTTGAACCCCACGGCCAGACCTGCTCAGGAGTGGACAGGCTCGCTTTGTGCAGCAGGACATGCCCCTCGGGAGAAGTCTTCAAGCAGAGTCGGGATGCCAGCCCTGAGGGCCAGTGAGGAAGGCATTGCTGCTCTGGGAGGGCAGTCAGCTAGTTAGTAGAACAGTATTTTATCACCTGTGCATTATAGGCCAAATGCAGGGGTGGATGGCTTCCAGTATATCCCCTTCAGCCTCATGGAGGCTGCTGGATGTGACCGTCTCCTGGGGCACAGAGGAGACCAGAGCTGAATAGCATGCACAGGGTCATGCGGCTAATAAATGCCTGAACCACAGTCAGAACTCTGTTTATTGTTTTAACAGTCTCACACTTACTCAGCTCATTCCTGTGCTAAATGGGGTAAATGTTACATGTTATCTTTATGTCAGAGTCCCTCACATGGGTGACATTTCTTGCTGTGATGTGCACAGCCTGTGTTTCATGTTTGGTGCCCCGGGCATACGTTAGAAACATAAAGATGCCAGGGCGCCTGGGCGGCTCAGTTGCTTTAAACGTCCGACTTCAGCTCAGGTCATAATCTCCCAGTTTGTGGGTTCAAGCCCCACGTCAGGCTCTGTGCTAACAGCTCAGAACCTACAGCCTGCTTTGGATTCTGTGTCTCCCCCCCCCCCGCCCCACCCCTCCCCTTCTCACACTCTCTGTGTCCCTCAAAAAAGAAAATGTTTGGGAGAAAAAAAAAAAATCATGAAAAAGATGCCATAGCGTAAATGTGTGTGTGTTGTGTGTGGGGATGTGGGAGAAGGTGGGAAGGGCAGGTAAAACCCAAGGGCTGTTGGCCCCTCTGACCAAGAGCATTTCATCACCAGGGACCTCCGAACATAATCGTTGGTGATGGACCCAGCCCTGTCCTCAGAAGTGCTTTCGGGGAAAAATTTTGAGATTCAGACCAGACATCGGATTGTCTGCCAATAAGTTTAAGATAGAAAATGCACGGACCTTTGGATGTATTAAATTTTAGGCATGTTAAAATATTCAACTCCTCCTACTTGGGGTCTACAGTTTTCTCACTACCTTTTCATTTTCAAACCACTGACCACTTTTCTTTCTGCTCTGGTGGGAAATTCATGATTCGCCTTTAGTATTTTCATCTCTGAATGTTCTGTGAGTCTCGGTGACATAACAGGGTTCAGAGACTGTCACCTCAGTAATGATCAGACTGGATACCTGCATGGGTTCATGTCATCAGCCCTGTAGGTCCGCTGCAGACCGGAGCGTGTCACCTTCACCCAGTCAGGATGAGCGGGACACACCACCGTCTTCCCAGGAATGGGGGGCGGTGGGAGATCCAAACGCACCTTGCAGCCCACTCCCCTCCTGCCACACAGCTGAGATTTACTTGGGACGACCTTGGCAGCTGGGCATGTCGGGCGGGGGTGACAGAATGAGGGTTCCCTTGCCCCGATGCAGGTGAGCGCCAGGCAGCTCAGTGGGCCCTTGGCCTCCAGACTCAAGGAACTAGAAAGCTGACCTCTTGCTGTTTTTTTGCAGCCTCCTGCTCAGTGGACTTGGAGAGGCCTTGCTGGTTTTCTCAGAGCAGAAGGGCTCCTAAGGACAGGAAAAACAGACCCACAGGCTGCTGGCTGGAATGCATGGCCCTGGGCCTCGGAGCTCCCCCTCAAGTGTGTTAGAAGGAAGAACGCGGGGACAGCGAGGCCACCACTTCTCACTGCATCAAGGAGAACTCTCTGGGCTGCTGCAGAGAATGGACTTTGCTGTGTCTTCCTGCTTCGAGAGGTCCTGCTGACCGTGCTGTGCCTGATTGTGCAGACCCAGGTCAGGATTCCGCCTGTGTGAGGATGGCCCTGCTCACCTTGACTGATACGCAGACCTCCTTACTAAACACCCTTCACCACACACTGCTCTGACTACATGGGGTGGACTCAAGGAAGTTCGTTGCACTTTTTGTTTTGTTTTATGTGTTTACATCTTTGGATACTCTTTTGGGGACACCTTTCCCTTGCTGTCATGGGCTGGCCTGGAGCCCACACTCACCCACTTAGGAGCACGGACAGAATTCCCCATGAGAGCTCTCAACAGGGGTAGGGACAGAGACGAGGGCTGGATGGGAGTCCTGAGTAAGACAACAGCAAGCACCCTGTGACTCCAGAGAGAGTGCTGAAGCCTTTTTGTGGTTGTGTGTTATGTTGAATTCGATACACTCTTTTCTTGCCCAGTGTTAGGCTGACTTGCTCCTAAGTGATCACCATAGGGAACAGGGTTTATAATTATTGACGGATATGCTCCTTGGGCAGACACAAACATTGAACACATGTATATACACAAGCATGTGTATTTGTATTCCCATCCTTTAAAGCTTTTAATCCATTTAATTCCCTGATGGCTCAGAGGAGATTTCATTCATATCATTGAACACTGAAGTATCTTTTTCAGGCCAGATTAAAAATTCGATTAAGATTCTAAACCTTCCTCTGTGGGAGTCCAAAGAAATGAATATGCATGAAATGGTGACTTGATTCTGAACCCACAACGAACGTGTAAGAAAATAAATGTCTGACTTCAAATATTTCTGCTCATGACAGGTTTTGAATGTTTGACTACTCTGCTGGGGGTCGGGTTTGGTCATTTTGAGATATAGAAAGTAGTGAAGTCCCAGTGAATCTTCCACAGGCAGGACGCCAGGCTTGCAGTGGTGGACACGCACGGCATCCATGGAGAACCATCTTTGGCATCTGGGGAATAAGCCTGTCCATTCTTGGCCCCCTGAAAAATAAGGTCAGCTCAGTCAGGGGCCATTCTTCCAACTTGCTGAAAAAATAAACAGAAGATGAAATGGATAGGAATGGATTAGTATATTTGGAACTTGAGTACCTTAAATTCATTCCCTTGTCTTTTCCTAGTCTCTATGTGTCATTTAAGGTAAAGATGTTCAGAGTGACGTTTACACAGATGTAGGGGCTTTTTTTTTTTTTTTTTTAATGTTTATTTATTTTGAGAGAGAGCATGGGTACAAACAGAGGAGGGACAGAGAGAGAGGGAGTCAGAGAATCCCAAGCAGGCTCTACACTACCAGCGTAGAGCCTGACTCGGGGCTCAGTCCCACAACCATGAGATCATGACCTGAGTTGAAATCAAGAGTTAGAAACTTAACCAACTGAGCCACCCAGGCACTCCTACATGGATATAGCTTCGGTTTGCTTTATGTCCTTCGTCTATATAAACTTCATAGAGGCTGAGGATCAAATAGAAAACTGGGTTTAGAATTCTCCTTTTTCTTTTGCTCTCACAAAACTCTCTCTGTACGACTGAGAGAGTTCTCCTTTTGTGGAAAGTGGTGTCTGTCCAAATGTCTTTGCCTGTCTCTAAGCCTGTCTTTCCAAGTTCCATTCAGGCATATGGAGGTTCCTAAGTCTGGAAAGAACCATGCACAGTTAATGGGCCCATCTCGTGATCCTAGGAAACCTGTTCTTAAAAGAATCTCTACTAGGGATTTTTACATTTTTGTTTGATTTTTTTTTTTTAAGGGCATTCCCGAGTCCCTTTGTTTTTATGTTTTACTTTAATTTCATAATTTGAGTAGAGTTGATACACATGTTAATTAGGTTTAGGTGTACAGCTTAGTGATTTGGTAAGTTTATACTTTATGCTCCGCTCACCGCAAGTATACCACCTGCCCTGTTATGTCGCTGTCATATTATTGACTGTGTTCTTTATGCTGTGCCTTTTATTCCCGTGCCTTACTCATTCCATAATCCGAAACCTGTACCTCCCTCTCCCCTCCACCTGTTTTGCTCCTCTTGCCCCTCAGCCCCTCTGGCAACCATCTGTTTTTCTCTGTATTTGTAATTCTGATTCTCCATTTTCATTTTTTATTCATTTTTTTAGATTCTGTTTATAAGTGAAGTCATATGGTATTTGTCTTTCTGAGTCTGATTTATGTCACTTAGCACAATACCTTCTAGGTCCATCTCTGTTGTTTCATACGGCTTGATCTCATCCTTTTTTACGGCTGTGAATACTCCACTGTGTATATATACCACATTTACTGTATCCATCAGTCTATCAGTGGACATTTAGGTTGCTTCCATATCTTGGCTATTGTAAATAATGCTGCAAAAAACATAGATCTTTTCAAGTGAGTGTTTTCACTTTATCTGGGTAAATACCCAATAGTGAAATCACTGGATCATATGGTATTTCTATCTTTAGTTTTTTGTTTTGTTTTGTTTTGTTTTTTAAAGATTTTTATTTATTTCTAGGAGAGAGAGAGAAAGACAGCATGAGCAGGGGGAGGGTCAGAGAGAGGGAGTCACAGACTGAAACAGCCTCCAGGCTCTGAGCTGGCAGTCAGCACAGAGCCCGACGCGGGGCTCGAACCCACGAACCACGAGATCATGACCTAAGCGAAAGTCGGACGCTTAACCGACTAAGCCACCCAGGCGCCCCTCTATCTTTAGTTTTTTGAGGCACCTCCATACTGTTTTCCACAGAGGCCGCACCAGTTTGCATTTCTATCAACAGTGCACGAGGGTTCCTTTTATTCTACATCTTGTTGGTTCTTGTCTTCTTGATTTTAGCCATTCTGCCTGGTGTGAGGTGATATCTCATTGTGGTTTTGATTTGCATTTCCCTGATGATGAGTGTTGTTGAGCATCTTTTCATGTGTCTGTTGGCCATCTGGATGTCTTCTTTGGAGAAATGTCTGTTCAGGTCCTCTGCCCATTTTTAAATCAGGTTGTTTGTTTTTTTGGTGTTGAGCTGTATAAGCTCTTTACATATTTTGGGTGTTAAGCCCTTTTTGGATATGTCATTTGCAAATATCTTCTCCCATCCAGTAGGTTGTCTTTTTGTTTGGTTGTTTCCATTGTTGTGTAAAAGCTTCTTATTTGGATGTGATCCCAAGAGTTTGTTTTTGCTTTTGATTCCCTTGCCTCAGGAGACATCTAGAAAAATGTTCCTACCACTGATGTCAGAATGATTACTGCCTGCGCTGTCTCCTAGGATTTTCATGGTTTCAGGTCTCCCATTTACGTCTTTAATCTATTTTAAGTTTATTTTTATGTACAGTGTAAGAAAGTGGTCCAGTTTCATTGTTTTTAAAACCTCAAGTATCCTCTTATTTTGACGCAGCAGGAGGCAGAGGATAAGGTGTTTCTTCAATATACCATCCTGTTTTCTTCAGCTTCCATCTCTCCTAGGGCTTCCCCCTACCCAGCCACCCAAGCTTTAATTTCTCCGTTTTATGCCCAAGTTCACATGCTCAGCTCTGAATGCAGGTGAGCCGAGAGGTCTATGGACCCAGGGCTGACCCAGGTTACTGCAGTCCCCTTAGCTCTCCCGGTCTGTGGCTCTCTGCGCCCCTCTCTGGGTGGGAATCTCCAGGTAACGCCAGCACTCTCTTTTATCAAAAATGATCCATTTTGCCATGTCCTTTCTGGGTCCTGATGATCCCAACCTTACTGGCCCCAAGTCAAAGCCCAAGTGCTTGGATTTTTCATTTGTACAAATAAAGTATGCTTTCCGTCAAAAGAGGCCAGATTCTGTATGATTGTATATTGTTATGAATCTCCTGTGGATATAAAGAAAAATAAACTGTTTGTTTTCATGGTAATTTGCCTTTCTCTCTCTTCTCTTCAAACTCAGCTGGAGACAATTGCAAAAACAGTTGTTAACCTTGGGGGTAGGGGGCAGGGGGAGGGCTCTTGCATCTTAAATACAGGCTCTGACTTCTACCAACATCTAGGCCATTTAGCTTCAAACAGGGAAGACGACCCAGCTCCTGCTGCTGCACCTGTGCCATCCAGGAGGGTGAGCATGGCCATGAGTGGCCGTTGAGCACTGAAATGGTGTGCGTCCAGATTCACACGTGCTGTACACAAGTGTAAGTACACACTGATTTCAAAGATTTTGTTTAAGAAACAGGATGTAAAATATCTTAGAATCATTTTTATACTGATTACAGATTGAAATATTTTGATTGGTTAAATAAAACATTATCAAAGTGAATTTCCCATTTCTTTTTACCTTTTTTAAAGTTTATTTTTGAGAGAGAGAGAGAGAGATCACAAAAGCATGAGCAGAGGAGGGGCAGAGGGAGAGGGAGATACAGAATCCAAAGCAGGCTCCAGGCTCTGAGCTGTCAGCACAGCGCCCAATACGGGGCTTGAACCCAGGACCCATGAGATCATGACCTGAGCCGAAGTCGGATGCCCAACCAACTGAGCCACCCAGGTGCCCCTCTTTTTACCTTTTTTAACGGACCTGCTAGAAAATTGCAATATGTATACTTAGCTCTCATGATGTTTCTCTTGGTCAGTGCTAATCTGGAGCGGTTCTTCTATACTGGGCCTGGGAAGCAGCAGAGGAGATGGGTGTCGGCAGCAGCTGCTGGGGTTATCAACCCAGTAACACTCTATAAGTCATCGAATGTTCATTAAGTGCCACACACTGTGCTATGTATTTTCTAGGTGTCGTGTCATTTAGTTTTACCAAGGGTGGGCAGGCAACATTCTCCCCCATTTTATTAAGGAGATTCAGAGAGATTCAGTAACTTTTCCAAGGTCACCAAGTGAGGACTCAAGCCCAGGTCTTTCTGATGAAGCCTGTTTTTTTTTCATCTGCACCTGAGAGAGTTCCGTTGTGAAGGAGAAATGAAGCCCTTCATATTTTACAGGGGGTTGCCGGTTCTGCACTTAAGTGTTCCCATGTGGATTCCTGACATCGGTGAGGCCCTTGTGGCTTTCTCCCTGGAAGCCACATCTTTACCAAAAGGGGGAGGTCTGTGGCCTGCATCCCAGCTGCCTTCCCAGTGTTCCAGTCCATGCCACCAGCCTCCTCTCTTGGCTTGTGTCTGGGATCTGCCCTGCACAGGGCTGGAACAACCAGGAGCACTTTGGGAAGGGCAAATCTGCCCCCACCTGGACTAGAGCTCTTCACATTTCCAGAACAAGCAGCCACTGTTGGGTTCTCAGGCCCCTTTTTTCTCTGGGGCTGGCATGTTTTGGTGGCTGAGAGGTTTGAAGGTCGAAGGATCCTGGGTGACTGTGCCAGGAGAGGGTACCCTTCTCTGCACCAGGTCTGCAGGCCCAGAGGGGGGGACAGTTACAGGTCTGGCTGAAAACATAAACATGCAAGACTGCAACAGGTGGGGTGCCCAGGTGGCTCAGTTAGTTGAGTGTCCAGCTTCAGCTCAGGTCATGATCTCAGGGGTTGTGAGTTCGAGCCCCATGTTGGGCTTTGCACTGACAGTGCTGAGCCTGCTTTGGGTTTTGTGTCTCCCTCTCTCTCTGCCCCTCCCCTGCTCCTGTGTGTGCTCTCTCTCTCAAAAATAAATAAACATTTTAAAAAAAAGAATATGTGATTAGTAATGCTTAGAACATGATAATCTTTCTTGAGCAGTTGGTTTTGAGAGGGAAACGTCTGTTATAAGACGGCCAACAGGACTGATAGGGAAATTCCAGGCCCTGACCAATGACTCCCCTCCCAGGTTCTTGTTCCTACCCAGCTTGCCACACGCCAGAGTGCTACTAATTAGGAATGCGGAAGTAACAGACTATAAATTGGTCCCTCCGCTCTT